ATAAATAAATATATGGATATGCCCGCACTCATATACATATTATATAAATGATAAAGGAAAAGATATTATTTTATTGTATTATCAGCAAAATGAATAGCATTATGCAAATATAATTTATAAAGGATTCCAATTTCGATATAGTATAACTTTACACATTCTTTTTTATGATGTATATATAGCAACAAAAATTAATTTGTTTAAAAAAAACATTCCTGTCATAGATTATTGATATCAAAAATTGTATATTGATTAAAAAGAAATAAGACAAAGAAAACATTTATATGATGGTAATTTTTATAAATAAAATTTTACAAATAGAGGTTCCATTTGGAATTTTGATATTCCAATTTTAAATAATTTTAATCTTTAAAAAAGTTGAGAATATATCAAACACAAATAAAATGTATATAAAAAGTAGTATACAGCAAGACCTTATTTTTTTGTATTATACAAAATGAAAGACGCCCATCTAAACAATCAGTTTTTTAAATACATTTTCAAACATAGTTCAAATATTCATAAAAATATTATTACACATATACATTTTTAAGAAAATACATAATGGATTGCACAACGGAATACTTTCCAATTAGAATCGGATTTTTTCGTAACAAAGCTATCAATGCTCCTACTCGCCTTAAAGCTACAATTACTTGAATCGTCTAACATGTTTGTTTAAGAGCGAGTAAGAATTAGAAGTGTAACGCTAAAAGACGAAAAAAATCGTAGTAATTGGTAAATACCGATGAATGAAACTAGACGTTCAAGTCTTTGACATCACATCTATCTGTAGGTAAAAATAAAAGCTCGAAGTACAATTTTAAATTCAAGAAGCAGTGGATGAATGAAAAATACTTTGATTTGTTTGGCTATGCTGTGTAATAATACAGTATACAGGAGTGGAAGTCTGAATACTATGTGAGCCCAGGAAACAAAGGGAGGTCAAGCATAAAAAGAACAAACACGCGTAGGTCGTGAGAGCATCGTCCCGCGGAGCGGAGGAAAAAGGAGCGATCGTAACAGCGCCATTCTTGCTCTTTATGCCAAAACTTCCGCTGTCCTTCGAACTTCAATTTCGCTCTTTCTCTCTCTCTCTCTCTCTCTCTCTCTCTCTCTCCCTCTCTACCTACCTACCTACCTAAATATCTATCTATCAATCTATCTATCTACCTATCTATCCATCTGTCGTCCTGTCTCTTCTTTCCACTAAATCCTTTTAGTTATTTACGTTCATGAAACTCATTGCTGCTTATTCAACAATATTTAGAAAGTATATTTCAAGAGGTAAATATGATTTATTATATTCGTTAAATAGCAGTAGCACTTTCTAATTATCTATTAACAAATGTTAAGTAATCTTAAATTTTATATCCAAGTCACTTAGGATTTTCAAATTATTTGATAATGTCCTTTGTAACAGATTTATACAATAAATATCTTTTTTTTTCTTGATTGCACATCCATACTAAAATAATACATTTTTTATTCGTATTTTATTATCGGAAAATATATATCTTATAAAATGCATATCTAGTTTGTTGTAAATATAATATAATTTTTTTTTACTTCTTATAGGCTATAAATAAAATTGTACATATTATTTGTATTTTGTATAAGTGTAAAAAAAAGTTTATATTAAAAATTTTAAAACCATAACTATTGTAAAAATCATATATAATATTTTGTATAAATAAATAAATAAATAAATAGATGTATGTGTTTCGTGAGCGCTAAAAGAATATAAAACTTTTATATAAATATATACTATGATTGTGAGATAAATTTTAATTTAATTTAATAATTAAAAACTAATAAAACTATATTTATTTTACAAATATAATTTCTATAAAATTAAGTTAAACAATAAAGATAATTATAAGAAACAATTTACTGGATACTCATAGCATTTTATAAAATTATAAATTGAATTGCACATTTATCAATTTTACTTCTTTATCTTGTACATTATTTAGTAAACACCACTGTTGTCTAATTCAATTATAAACACATTTTTTATTCCATGTTTCTAAGAAAGTAAATAACAATATTTTATATCGAAAAAAACCGTATGCATATTATTATTTCAAAAATATATTAAAATTTATATCTGATTTTTTCAAAGCCTAGTTTATTAGATAATCAAGATCGGCCAAGTCCAAATGTTGATAAGCTTCTTCGTTTATATCTATTTGCCTTTATCTTTTTCTTGGCTCTTTTCAAATATTCAATACATTCAATATAATATCAAATGTAATAAAAACATTCATAAATATTTATTGTATAATATGGACGTAGATTATTGTAATATAATTTTAATCGATATTTACAATAAATTTATCTAAATAATTTGAATTTATTAAATATAATTAATAATGTAAGAGTGAAAGAGAGAGAGAGAGAGAGAGAGAGAGAGAGAATAATTTTCATGTGCATTCTGTTACTTTAATTCTTGAAGCAAAAACCACAAACTCTAATTAAAGAACATATGATTCACAAGGTAATAAATAAAAGTTTCTTTTATTTATGCAATTATATACTTCTTTCTTTACGCTATTAATCATTACAGTATATTATACTTTGAATATCAAATAGAAAACTGTGAAATTGATTTTAGTTTCGATTTTAAATTAATATAATTCTAGAAAAATATCAATAAAACTTATGATTCTAATAAATATATGTTGTTCAATCTATGCTATTATCACAGTTACATTAATCTCATATATTAGACATTTTCAAATATGAATTACCTATTTTATAAATATTTAAATAATAAATGGGTTAATATAATAAGAATGTGAAGCAAATAACTTATTGAAAGTTATGAAAATATTTTCAGTGTTTAGTGATATTCATTTTCACATAAAATTGAACGTTTAAATAACTCTATTAAATAGATTATTTTATTTCCATCTTAATAAATCATTCTTTGAAATAATTTTGTAACGAACATGTTCTAAATAAATAAAATAATTTACTAAACCTTTTACAATAATAATTATTCGTAATTAACTTTTCTGTATTAATTTTTATTAATAAATAAAAACCATAATCAATTTAGACTTCAAACATTTAGTATGATGATTACATTTATATAAAATTATTTGTAATAAAGTGAAAAATCATAATTACTATAAGATTTGTAAAAAACCATAAATTATATGATAAAATTCCGTGAATGCATAAATTAAGTTATTTTTGTATATTATTGAAAAATTAATAGTTGATTTTTAGAAATTATTATATTGAAGAAATCATTATAAGTAGATGAAATTTATTAAATAAGTATGAATTTAAAAAAAAAAACATAAATCAAGATGTTTATATAATTGCTTAGTGGTTAATTCGAAAAACTTCGAATTATATACTATTATCAAAAATCTTAAACTTACAAAAAATATGAAACAATTTTGTTAGATGGTAAAATAACCTTTGTCAAAACACATAAAAAAAAGTAATCTTATTCTTAAAAAACTGGTGACCAAATAATAATCTCGTAAAAAAGTGAAGCATTAAGTTTTCGTTTTTGGGCTTTCTGAGTTTAGAATGGTATTTTATTACTCTATCCAACCTACTTCCTCCCAGTCGCCTGCTCCGCTACATATCCGTCTATTATAAATGGAAAAGAGCGTATATATTTCGGTGTATCTTAACGTGTGTGAGAATTCGATGCATTTACATTATTATCTCTACTTCGTTCTTTTGTTTAAGATTTACTATTTTCCCCATTGATCATTGGTAATGCCAATTCTCAAAGATATTGTTTAAACGCACCTTTTTTAGGTAGATGTTCCTATCGAATACACGTGCGCAGGTACGCACATGCACCTACGCGCACGCGTGATCATACATGCACGCACCCACGTCCCATATCACTTTCTTTAAACATTCATCACTGTTCGTAGGACACACCGGAGGCCTAAAATAGTACGTTAAAAAATTAGCATGTAAATCTAAACTTCAATATAGATAAGGACATTATTATTTTAACGATTGAATGGAATAAGCATTATTGTGAAGTATGGAAATAATAAGAAATATATGACAAAATATTAGATTATTACCGTGCTATCTATTTTATTATTAATAGAAGTAAATAAATAATACTACGTACAATGTTGAAAGTCTTGCAATATGCTTAGTAGACATTTGAAGTTTATGACTCACTCGTGAAAATTAGATATTTGTGTTTTTACATAGGCATAAAAGGAGTGTAGGAGAAAGAGAGCGAGAAAGTGAGTGAGCGAGCGATCGCACACGAGGGAGGGAGGGAAGTAGACAGAAATATTGACCAAGTATGTATCACTTAACGAAACTTAACATTTGCAATAGCGTGTGCGGTGAAACAATAACCACTGACATTAATCGATCCCGTGTTTAATTTCATACTAAATATTCATATTTAAAGTATGAAATCGAAGCTTTTCTAATTCGGGTAATCCTAATCTAGTTCATTAGAAAATAAAATAAAAGATGTTAGATATATAGGTCTGGGGTGATGTTGCAAGAGAGATGCAGAAAGATTATATAGCACACTTTTAGAGCCAGACTCTGCAATAGCAAGCAAGAAAGCCTCTCAGTTACATTTATATACATCTACTGAGGAACTGCATGTCGCAGATACGCGATTTTACTCTCTCCCGTTATGACTTAAGGAACACCTCTTCTCTTATTCCTAGCTACGTCCCATCGCCTCTTTTTCAGCTCGCGCGCGCATAAATGCCTTGTGTAGATGAATTCTAAACAATTATTCAGTTGCGCGGGTGCGCGCGCACTTACTTTGGCGCCGCGCAAACGTGCATGGTGTGTGTGCTTGCGGTTGAGCGCGCCCAGTCAGCCATCTTGCTTCGAATATACGCTCTTCGTTGACGGTCTCTTCTGTTTTGAGAGCGAAACACTCTCTCTCTCTCTCTCTCTCTCTCTCTTTGTGTACGTTGAGCACGGTTATGCGAGCGAGCGCGCGCGCGCGCGAGAGAGAGAGAGAGAGAGAGAGCGAGAGAGAGAGCGAGTGAGTGAACCAGAGGGAGAGGGATCGCGCACAATATTACTCGAAAAAGAGGGAGTAGAGCTCCCGCAAGGAGTCGCAATCTTACGTAGCCCATACACCGCCCCCGCAGAGTTTGTGCAGGAGCAGAGTACGAACTGTAAAGTAGAGAGAAATGGTTTCGTAGATGAAGAGAGAAAGAAAAGAACACGATTCGTACTTCTGTACGCATACATACATTAGTACGTCATGAAAAAGTGAGAGAATACGTTAGATAGATTAATAGAGAAAGAGAGAAACAGGCAGACAGGCAGTCAGACAGACAGACAGAGTAAGAGGTTCATACACGCACTTGACAACGAAAGGAAATCTCCTTCATGTTGCGGTTTGAATCCGTTTTATTATCGTCGCCGTCGCCGTCGCCGTCGTCGTCGTCGTCGTCGTCGTCGCCGCCGCCGCTGTTGCCGCCGCTTCTTATCTGCGAATCTGCGTAGAAATTTACATAAACGCACACATAATCCAGGTAATGTGAATCTTTGTGAATTATTAGAGAGAGAGAGAGAGAGAGAAAGCGAACAATTGGCGTGTATCACCAAGTGCCCAATCGATCGCCTTCGTGTATTGAATAAGAGAAAGAGAAAAAAAGAAATTGTTAATGCTCTGAAAAAATATTTTGGTAAAGTACATTGTACTAGTGCATGCGGTATAATCAGAGCTTACGTGTTGCACCACGGGTGATTGTTCCATTAGATATTGCCTTTTACGTTTGGATTATTATATAGCTGTATGTTCACGTTTATGTGTGTGTAGTCGACGAAAGTTTTCCCTCTTTGTTAAGATTTGATTAATTACTACTGCTTCTCATTTTTAATTATCATTGTTAAGGAATATTCTTGAACTTTAATACCACTGAATATTGTAAAATTGTAATTTTTTGTACTGCTGCTTCTCTTATATTGGTTCTGTGGAGATTTTGGAGAAACTTTTGGAGTATTTTTAACATGTGATATTCTATGGTGCCTTGGATGATTTTCTTCATTGATGCATATATTTGATATATAATATTTCATAAATTCTAAAGAGATAACAGTGCTGAATATTTTAAAATACATAATTTAATAAGTAGTTAATATTGTAATATCTAATGACTATTCTGTTAATGCCGTTACATGTAATTAAAACAATCTAAAAATATTTGATAAGCTTCAGAAGTTTGTAATTATAAAAACATTAATTTTCGATTGATAATAATTAAATATGTTGAATATTATTTTAATTTATTGATCTATTGTTTAAATAATAACTGAAAATTTAACATGAAATTGTATTTATTTATAAATTGAATTTAAATTTATATTTGGGTAATAATGTAACGCTTAAAAAAAAAAATGTGTTAGGTAATACAGAATACTGCTAAATTATAATAAGTTTTACTTTAATATTTTTGTTTAGGTTAAATATATTAAAAGAAATTTTAAATATTTATATTTTTTATTTATGTAATTATTTATTTGTAACATAAAAAACAATTAATGAGTATTTTTGTTTTAATGATAAAACTCAATTTTATGTATGTAAAATTTTATAAAATTTTATTCTTACAATTTTGATATTTTATGAAGTTGCAATATTGTACGCTGTAGATTATAAATTGATCAGATTTTAGGTAAAACTGTAATGTACTTGAGTAGGATACTTTCTTTAGTAGCACTAGGATAATTTAAAAAATATAACATTAATAATTGACATTTATTGAATAGGATTTGCTTATAACATTTATTTCATATTAGATATTGTTTACTTTATAGTAAAATAATTTTAATCAACCAATAAAATTGTAACATAATTATAAAACGAATTAATAATAGTAGTTGCAATTATAGTTTGTTTTATCTAGAGCAGTTAAATTACTGAATTGTACTCCATATAAATGATTGCAAATAATTTATCGATGACTTGTTTATAGGTATAATAATTGAATTATACTTTATTATTTGTTACAAAATTTGAGTAAAACACGAGCTTATAAACTTTAATTACATAATATATATATATATATATATATATATATATATATTATAAAAATTTATTACTAGTTATAATTAGTTATCATTAGGCTACATTATTCATATGTAATAAATTATATATATTTTTTCAAATAGAAATGAAATTTAATGTAACACATTGTATATTGAATGCAGTATTTGTAAATATTTTAATAAATACAAATTATTGATCTTAATTTTTAGATTGAAGAATGGCTGCGGATGCGCCACGCGAGCGAGAAATCGCTGCTGAGGATAGTATTAAAGTAGTGTGTCGATTTCGGCCGTTAAATGACTCAGAAGAAAAGGCTGGTTCCAAGTTTGTTGTTAAATTTCCATCTGGTGGTGATGAAAACTGCATTTCTATTGGTGTATGTATACATTTATGTATTATAATAAATATATAATATATTAAAATTTTTCAAATTATGATGTTTTACTAATTTTATCTTTAAATTTTTTATGAGTTTTGTCATTTATTTTTTAAAATAAAATAAATCATGTTTTCTGAATCAAAGCAGAATTAATTTGAAATAAGATATATTTTATAAAAAATATATATTTTCTAATGATTTTTTATTAATTGGATATAAATTTAATTATACAATTTTTATTTAAAAAATTGTTTATCTTAAATGCAACACATAAATTTACGTATGCAATAACCATGCATACTTATTATAATTTATTTAATATTTATAAAAAATACTATTTTATTCCATTAAAAAACAAATTTTTAATTCAAGTATTTAAATTCTACTATTTCATATTTTTATTCATATTTTCTATTTATATTTTATTATCAAATATTTATATATGTATTTAAATATATATTTATATATATATATATGTATGTATTATATATGTATTATTATTATATGTATTATATATGTATTTATATATATATATATATATTTATATATCATTGCATACTTCTGAAAAATTAATAAAAAAAACTTTAACTATTTTGAAAATTTTATATTATAATTTCATGCGCTGATTATATATTTATTATATTTATCATTTACTAAATTTCTTATTCAACTGATTAAATTTTAGGGCAAAGTTTATTTATTTGATAAAGTGTTCAAGCCAAATGCAACACAGGATAAAGTTTATAATGAAGCAGCAAAATCAATTGTTACTGATGTTCTTGCTGGTTATAATGGAACCATATTTGCCTATGGACAAACCTCTTCAGGTATCTGAAAACTATTATTACTTGAATAAGTTAGTTAAATTGTTTTTTTTAAGTATTTCATTCTATTTCATATTTTGAATATAAATTACAATAATTAACGATTTTATATGAATACTTATTAATATTAAATATATATATTTAATATTTTTATTGATATAATATTTATATATATTTCTTTAATTAAAAAGTATTTTAAAAACTTTTTATTAAATAAAAAACAAATATAATAATATTAATGTTCTATAATTTCAACATAAAAAATAAGTTATATATAAATTTAATTTTTAATATTTAGGAAAAACCCATACAATGGAAGGAGTCATCGGAGATCCAAACAAACAGGGAATCATTCCTCGAATTGTTAATGACATCTTCAATCATATCTATGGAATGGAAGAAAATTTAGAATTTCATATTAAAGTCTCATATTTTGAAATATATATGGATAAAATCCGAGATTTATTAGATGGTAGGATAATGTTGAATTTGTTATTTAAAAATATTAAATATAAATTAATCTATTTAATTTAAAATTTTTATATTTGATTTATTAGTTTCGAAAGTCAATCTTAGTGTACATGAAGATAAGAATCGGGTGCCTTTCGTTAAGGGTGCAACAGAACGTTTCGTCTCTAGTCCAGAGGAAGTGTTCGAAGTGATAGAGGAAGGAAAGTCAAATCGTCACATAGCTGTAACGAATATGAATGAGCATAGCTCACGATCGCATTCGGTCTTTCTTATTAATGTTAAGCAGGAGAATTTAGAAAACCAAAAGAAATTGTCTGGAAAATTGTACTTAGTAGATTTAGCTGGTTCAGAAAAAGTGTCAAAGACTGGAGCAGAAGGTACAGTACTTGACGAGGCAAAAAACATTAACAAATCGCTGTCAGCACTTGGCAACGTCATCTCTGCTTTGGCTGATGGTAATAAGACGCACATACCATATAGAGACTCGAAATTGACGCGGATCCTGCAAGAGTCATTGGGTGGGAATGCAAGGACAACAATTATCATTTGCTGTTCACCTGCTAGTTTCAACGAATCTGAAACAAAGTCAACTCTGGACTTTGGTAATAAATAATAATTTGTTTTTTGTGTTATTTAATTGTTTTTATTGGCTGACTATATTTATAATACAATACAAGTATTAAATATTGTTTATACTTATCAATACAGTTGTAACATTCATTAATCTTATCTGATATTTAAAAATATTTTAATGTTCAGTTTTAGATAAAATATTACAAAAATTAGCTTTAAATAAAGATTTTTATATTAATTATAGACAACCAATTAATGAACAATGGCAGAAAAATTTCTAATAAAATAAAATTTTAACTTTTTAACTAACTATGTTCTTATGTAAGTAAATTTTTGTATACAAATAAATTATGTATAAAACAACATTTAAAACAACTATTGTATACTACGAATTTATTGGATCTAATACCAAAAATATAGTATAATTTTTTATTTTAATTGCTAATTGGGATATTAATTTTTTACTTTTTATTTTATTGTTCATTTATTTAATTACTACATAAATCAAGAAATTTTTTGTAAAATGAAAATTAATGTATATACGCTGTATATCTACATTATATTTTATGCTTAATAGCTTAAAATATATAATGCATGATCATTTTATAATTTTAATAATGAAAGGTCATTGACATAACTTGCAACTAATTCTATTATTTAGGAAAACGGGCGAAAACAATTAAAAATGTCGTCTGTGTAAACGAGGAGCTAACAGCTGAAGAGTGGAAACGAAGATACGAACGTGAAAAAGAGAAAGCAGCCAGATTACGTGGGAAAGTGGAAAAGCTTGAATCAGAACTGTCACGATGGCGACAAGGTGAAACTGTTAAGCCAGAAGAACAATTTAGTTTACAGGATGGTCCAGATGTGACAACTCCTGTTGCACCAACTGTTGAAGGTAAATTACATTTTATTTAACATATATCTTTGTACATATTTTCATTAAATAAATGTACAAGACTTATTTATGACGTTTGACAGAACTATTATCACACAATTTTTAATAGTTTCAATAAATAAAAATATAAACATTCATTTATTATTCATACTATTATTTCATATTTTTACAAATAATTATTAATACAAATAAATATATTCGAAATAAAACAATGCAGTTAAACTGGATGATGGACCGATGCCTGCCACACCAGGAGGTGGCCTTATGGCTGGATCATTGTCAAATGAAGAACGTCAGAAACTTGAAGAAGAACGTGAACGCTTGTATCAGCAACTTGATGACAAAGATGAAGAAATAAATCAGCAATCACAGTTTGTAGAAAAATTGAAGGAGCAGATGGAAGAACAAGAAGAATTAATAGCCAGTGCAAGACGAGATTACGAACAACTTCAACAAGAAATGACCAGGATTCAGCAAGAGAATGAAAGTGCAAAGGAAGAAGTTAAGGAAGTACTTCAAGCTCTTGAGGAACTAGCCGTTAATTATGACCAGAAATCACAAGAGGTAAGGATTATAAAAAATAAGAATTTGGTTTTATAAAAATTAAACGAACCATAAGCTGTATTATATAATATATTAATGAATAATGAAAAGATGTTTAAATTTTATTATAAATTTTAAAATAGACTCATGGTGTACTAAAATTTTGCATGCAATTTCAATACCCACATCTTAGAAAATGAAATTATTCTTAGATTAAAACTAATAAATAATTTTTTTGTATGATATATTTTTGTATAATTTAATTTATATACTAATATATTATGACCTTTTAAAATTATATCTTCGCTATAATTGTTCACACATAAAAATGAAACTTTAACTATTTAATAAAATAAACATTAGATTCAAATTGTTGACATATGATGCAGAATGATATTAATTCTATTTATTTTTGCTATCTTGATTATCAATGATTAATAAATACATCAAATAAGTGATGTCACAATTATATTTATATATTTTAATTATCTAAAAATTAATTAATCAAAAATACATATTTTTCATTAATTAATAGAAAAATTAAGAATACTTTAGAGACAAATAATTTCATTAAATAGATTATTATTAGTTCAATAATAATTAAATTTTAGTTTTAAAAATAGCATTTTTACAGTAGCTGATTAATTTCGTAAATGTATATTTTCTATCGATATTTTAAGGTTGAAATGAAAAACAAGGAGCAAGAGGTTTTGACAGAAGAATTACTCGATAAGCAAGCTGCCCTTAACTCAACGGCTTCAGAACTGCAACAACTTCGTGACATGTCAACTCATCAGCGCAAACGTATTGCTGAGATGTTAACGAATCTGATCAAAGATCTTGGGGAGATCTGTGTAGCCATTGGTGGTGATGAAAATCTTAAAGTACTACCCGATGGCAATGGTAAGCTTGAGGAGGAATTTACTGTTGCTAGGCTTTATATTAGCAAGATGAAGTCAGAAGTTAAAAATCTTGTTCAAAGATGTCAAGGGCTGGAATCTTCACAATCGGATTGTAATAAAAAGGTAAGCATATCTATTATTTCTAATTTCTTATCTGACAATCATTTAAATGTATTTAATATAAACTATTTACTGAATTTGCAATTAATAAGTACATATATATATTTATATATACACACGTGCAAACATACAAAAATATTGATTTAGATTTCATGCATGTAAAATGTAATAATATAAAGAAATGGTTTTAATTTAATTGATTTAACAGATTATTAATATAAAAAAATATAATCGAATTTTTTTATTGTTTTTTTTTTTTTTTTTTTTATTGCAATATTTTGAACGGCTAATTAAATTATATTAAATAAAATAATAATAAAATAATAATGATTGGTTATTCACAATATGTATATCAATAGTTACAGGTACCAATACTTTGCAAAAATTCTTCTAATTTGATTTATTGCTTTTCGTGTTATACAATAATAACAAACTGAATTATCAGTCTATTTGGGTTTAAATATATACCTGATATTGGAACGTTGACTATAATTCTTTATTCTCATTATTACTATCTCGTTTACAATTTTTGGTCTTTCTTATTGAATCTACTCCAATTTTTCTTTCATAGAAAAGTTGCTATTGCTTCAATTTTTATAAGTTTAATTATTTTTATTAATCTCAGCGAATAATGATAATGACTATCTTATATTGTTATCTTTAATTTCTTTTAATTTTCTAGCGTCTATTTTTTTAACAATATAAGATAAAGTTATTGTGATATCAATATTATTTTCAGATAAGTTGCAGAGAGGATACATAATATGGTTAAACATTTTAGGTTTAACTATTTAATATCACTATTAATTAAATTTTAATATTAAAATAAACAAAGTTTGTTGAAGTTGTATTAACTTTTACATTATTGTAAATTGCATTATTAGCAAACTACAGGAAACCCAGTTAGATATTAACGTATGATGTTTAATATCATTTTATGAATTTTAAATTATCAGGTATCCGAGTATGAAAAAGAGCTCGCAGAATGTCGGCTACTAATTTCACAACATGAAGCACGAATGCAAACTTTATCTGAAACAATGAAGGAAGTTGAAGCTCGCAAGCGTACCTTAGAAGAGGATGTGGATGCTATGCGCGAAGAATGTGCCAAGCTTAAGGCTGCAGAACAGGTACAGGCTGTTAGCAATAAAGAAAAAGCTGAGGAAAAAGAAGCCGCTACAAAAATGAGATTGGCACTTGAAGAACAAATGGACCAATTAAGGGACGCGCATCAGAAACAGGTATAAGAACTATTTAATGAATTATAAAACGTAGTATATCATTTTAAATCATTTTAAACAAAGTATAATACTGCTGTTAAATATTTAGTAGTATTTTAAAGAGAATCAAATTTTACATTTATTAATATTTAAAAAGATAATAAAAAATATAATTACATTTTAAAGAATTTAAAGATCAAAATTTTATATTATTTATTTTCATTGTTAATATTTTATATATTTTTTAGTTTTTAACTAATTAATTTTATTATTTCATGAATAATGTAAATTGATATATTTTGCATTTTTAATAAATATAAAATATACGAAAGTTTAGAAAATTAATTTTAAAATAATTACGAGACTACTTAAACATATATAATAACATCATATTTACATCACTTTATAATTATAAAATTCAACAAAATTATCAATAAAATATTAAATATTTTTAGGTTGCAACATTACGAGATGAAATCTCTGAAAAACAAGAAATGATTAGCGAATTAAAAGATATTAACCAAAAGTTCACTTTGGCTCATCAACAAATGCAAGCAGATTATGAAAGGTTGAAGCAAGAAGAGTCCGATAAGTCTGTCAAATTACAAGAACTTTTATTAATGAATGAACGTCGTGAACAGGTATTCTAAAATTTACATTAATTAATAAATAATGGTATAAACACATTAAAGAAATTCTCTTAATTATTGATTTATTCACAATTTAAACACTACAATTCAAATAAAGTTGAACTTAATATATAGTAAAATTTTATATTTTCTATTGCAGGCAAGAAAAGATCTGAAAGGTTTAGAAGATACTGTTTCTAAAGAGCTACAAACACTACACAACTTACGAAAACTTTTTGTACAAGACCTCCAAGCTAGAATTAAAAAATCAATAATTGCTGAGGATAATGAAGACGATGGTGGTTCTTTGGCTCAGCGACAAAAGATTAATTTCTTGGAAAATAATCTTGACCAGTTAACAAAGGTGCTTTTAAATATTTAAATTAGTCTTTGAAACAATTTTGTTGGGTATGTAAAATCCATGTACAAAAGTTATAACATTATTAAAATTAATAGAATAGAATATTAATATAAAACGTTAACAAAGAATAATTAATTTTTTATTTTATATTTAAAAAATAATTTTTTGTCAAAGTTATCATTAATTACATTATACATATTTAGGATTTTTATTGTTTAGTACATAAATAACAACTGTATGCGTAATTTTGTTTATATTTCTATGTTTGTTATAAATTTGATTATTTAAATTTAATTAATAATATTGAAAAATATTTAAATGAGAAAGTATTATCTAAAAGAAATAAAAGTCATGTTTAATATATAAATAAAAACTATATAATAATTATTGTATTCAATTATAGTACAATTTTGTAGTTAAGACATACTCGTATTTGCAATAATTTTTTTTTTAATTTTTTTTCATATTGATATTTTGGTAGGTGCATAAGCAATTGGTACGAGACAATGCGGATTTACGTTGCGAATTGCCAAAACTTGAAAAGAGGTTGCGTGCAACGATGGAACGGGTGAAAGCATTGGAAACGGCTCTACGTGATGCAAAAGAGGGTGCTATGCGAGATCGTAAACGCTATCAATATGAGGTTGATAGGATCAAAGAAGCCGTAAGACAAAAGAACTTAGCGCGCCGTGGCCCAAGTGCACAGATCGCCAAACCCATTAGAGCGGGTCAACATCACATGAGTAATCTCAATGCGATCAAGATCTGCTGCCGAGGTGAGCAAGATATGACAACAAAAGAGTAGAGGTTTTTATTTTTCTTTCATTTTCATTTCAATTATAATATGAAGAACTTTACATATAATTATAATAATATATGTATTTTTGTTAATCTATAAAATTTGTTTTATTTCTCATTGATCTTTGGACTTCAAAATAAATTTACTGGATAATTTAATTTATAAATATAAGTGTTTATAATACAAAATTATTTTCACTTTTCCAAACTTTATTTTCTGTCCTTTGTAATTATTTTAAATATTTTTGATGGTAAAAAATGTATAAATATTTCTTTATCCAGATTCATTTTGACAGTATATTTTATTTCATTGAGTTAGTAATATAAAATTGACCACAATGCTCGTTGCTTTCTTTCTCAAAATATTCACCCTTTTCTAAATTTCGCATATAAGATTTTTAAAAAAAAAAATACAAAAAATGAATTATTTTAATTTTTATTAAAAATTTATCATCCAAAAATTAGTATTAAAGCAAAAATTTTAATACAAGATCTTAAATTTGTATTGGAATATAAATGATACATTCTTTTTCTAAAGGGTTATGTTACACATATAAGCTCGTAGAAATCCGTAATTCAGATTTACAGTAATTAAAAGTAATTTTAATCGAATGCTAACACCAAATTTTTGTTGAGAATTGAGCAACTTATTGGAACAATTGCTTGTAATATATTGTTTTATTAATATCAGGTTATTAGTAGATTTAATCTAAAGATATCTTCTCTCACTATTTATCTTAATAATATCAGTAATATTATTTTGATGACAATATTTATATTAGATTCATTAAATGTTTCGCAAACTGTTTTAAACTGATGTATTTTAAACTGATGTAAATATAAGAGAAATTTTATAGTTTTTATTTTAATAATTGGAAGTATCCGCGTTAAACTTAGCAGCATCTATTCGTGAAATAAAAGGTTTAAAGGTTGATGACAAAGAATTTTAATTATCTTTAATATCAACAATTTATGTAGGACTTGGCTTTAATGATTTTAAAGTGAATTATTTTTATTGTTTATATAAGTATATTTTTCATGAGCTATAAATACATTGTGTGAATCTTAGATATTTTCACTTGAGTCTCTAATATTAAAAAATTTCTAGATGAAAAAATAAATTGTAGTGAACAAGTTTCTAATTATATTAACAATTTAAATTCAGTTAAAAATGTAGTTTGCTACACAGCACTTAATGTTCTAATGTTCTTATCCTACCATATATTGCAAAGTTTAACAATTTACATCTATGAGTACTAAGTTACTTAAACTGTTTGTAGTATAATTATTTTCTGGGCAGGGCTTTGCCCTCATTTTCTCTATTTCAGCTCGCTAAAAATCTGTAACTAGCACATAAATACCTTTTCTTACTTAAATAATTTATATGAACGAGTGTTAAATTATCAGTCATTTATATTTATTAAAACTAAGATAATTCATATATCAAGTTGCCCTATAAAAATTTATGTTTGTAGATATAAATTGAAAGATATAAATTATAATTATTTTTTTAATGGTGCATTTTTTTAGTAAATATAGAGTTATATTGCATATGCATTGTTATAAATTCATCAAAGCTATTCACTTTTATTCAAACATATTATTAATATTATTGTCAATATTGTTAATAAAGAATATTTGTTTCACTAAAAAAATTAACTTTTTTTTTCATTTGTCTATCGGTTAATATTTCCAGAAAAAATTATAATTATAAACAAGTAGATAGCATTTAATGTATGAAATTGTAAATATTTATTTTTATTATAATTGAATGCAACACTTGTAAAAGCAACAGGTTACGTTTAAAATATTTATATGTTCATTTTTTTGCTTTCATGCCTTGGTCTTTTGCCGCTGATTTAGATGGCGACTTTCAACCGCGCTTGTAAGCGTACACAATTGAAGCAATGTAGACAATGCCAAAACGAACTTGTCTTCACTCTTTTACCAATAACAACTGCGAGAGTGCTTTTGTAATGGATGATGAAAAAAAATTATTTCAAAGATAAACTTTATTTATAATTAAAAAAGAAACACTACTGCGATTCTAGACGTATGATGAATATGAAGCGGAAGTACTAATTACGCAAAATCTATTATAAATATTAATTATTATTACTATTAGCTCTATAATGATTAATGATTAATTATAGTTATAATTAGCAGTAATTTTATCATAATTATTATGTTAAAATAATATATTCACAACGAGCATTGCGTGGCTGGCGTTACGTTACCAACATCAGGTGCGTGACGCATTGTATTTCTTTACGAGGCTTAAATAAACGCGAGCAATCAGGGAGTCGTGCGTGCGTGCCTCACCGATAAGCGCTCGAACGCGCAACGTATGTATGTGCACTACTTTTTGTCCATTCGATTTGTACATAAATAATTTTTTTCTTTTTTATATATACTTATAAATTATTATTCTTAATTATTATTTAATTGAAGTAATAAGGAGCAAGCAGTCGAAAATAAACAAATAATGAAAATCACACAATGTGCACGATGCTAAGTAGAATTGTAACAATTGTGTATGAGCTCGTTTTGTTGTATATCAAAAAAAAGTCCTTGAGCATAGAAAATGAAGGAAAATGGAAAATTGTATTTACCAAAATTACTCAACTTATATTTGCACTAGAGCTTTGTCGAAAATTTTCAATATTTTTTCAAATTGCTTTACTCGCAAGCCGTTTATATAAATAAGTCATTTGAAATTTTTAAATAGTGGAAATAAAATGAATAGAACGAACAATGAATCATGTGAAATAAGCGAAGTGATCAAAGTTCTATTACTTGATCTACATATATACTTTTGAATAATGATACACGAGCAAGGTGAGAATTTTTTAAACTGCAGAATGTCGCTTTCATCAATCAGAGTCAAAACTATAGGTTTACAAAGGGGAAAATCATCTACATTGTTTGGAGGATTCACTTGATTCTCGGTCAAGTTTTGTTAATCCATCCGAATACAATTGTTTTTATTTGAATATAATCGAGGAAAATAATTGTATTGATGTGGGTGCACTAAGGCTGACTGTAAAATATGTTGGCCAACAAATTTATGTAAAAAATATATTTGCGAAAATCATTCGTCCAAGGAGGTTTGAAGTGCACACGCCGTTGTTTTTGCTATCGCGCGAGCCGCTTCAGTTCCTAAATGACTTTTGTACGTGATCGTTCACGTTGTATTGAATGGTGCGCTTGAAGCGAGATATTTTTTAATAGTTATTCGTTATTTATGATGGCACTTTTGAATCAATTGTAACGTCGATTCGCTTTTGACCATATGTTAAAGTACGCCTATTGGATGCTTTCTTATGCACGATATTGTAATATGTCTATGTATTTACTAGAAATGGAAACTCCACGCATTGACGTCACATTTATTTTTACCTTTCAATAAAAATGAAAATTAAGTTTACTTTTGAAATTTGTTGACTTCATTGGTCATAAATTTTCTAGTGAATGGGTTGGACAGACTTACAATCTATGCGATGCTTGTTCTCATCATTGTGAAACAATGTGTCTGCTTATGTATTGTTATGAAATGAAATTATTCACCATTATGGAAAAAGAAATTATAATTAATAAACGATCATTATTTAGATGATGTGTATAAGAAATTTAATTTCAGAATCAGATAACTCAAGAAGCTCTGCCGTCGCCCTTATCCCCTATTTAAAAAAGAATTAATTGTCGGCAATAGCTAGCCTTACATAATTTAATGACAAATTATTCTAAAGCCAAGTATTACACTGTCATAACGAGTATATAAGATCTAAAAAATAACGCAGAGGGAAAGGCAAAAAAAAATGATGTAACCCTTTTCGTAATACAAGGGAAAATCTTCGACAGATCATTATGGATTTGAAAATATTTATTTTTATCTCGTACTGTAACACTGCAATGTGCTTAATAAATATTTTGCATAAACAGTAATTGATTTACGAGAATTCAATTTTCTACCTTCTATTAATTCAAATATTAACAGAATTTTTTTAATATGATACACAAAATTATTTTCTTTTTAAAAATAATCAAATAAATTATTCACTGTTACTTTGCATAGTAGATCACGATTTCTACTTCTCTACATACTGCTTTAAAGTTATCACAAGTTATTATTTATTAACTTTCTATTGCCTGAAAATAAATATTTTTTTATATAAAACTACTATAATTATTGATGTTCAAACAACAAATGCATGCAAATAAAATTATTTATATATCTTGTGTACTTTTATTTTACGGCTTATTTAAAATTTTAAACAAAATAACATTAAAATAATACTTTTCTCTCAGTGTAAAATAAATAAATTAGTTTATTGATTGTTTCCTAAAAAGTTCTTTAACTTATCGTTACGCCTCTATAATTAATGATCATTATTATTGTGAGTTCGTATACTATGTTTATTAATTTTTATATATATATTGATAATTGATAATTATTGAACTTGTATTAATATCCAATATGAAAAAATTGAGTTTAATTTATTGGAGTTTTAGCCTTTTTCAAAAGAACTTGCGCGAATTAATCATAATTTTATTTTTTTTCTGCATGATAAAGGATAAATTTTTAAAAGATTCAATATTAAATACAACTTCTGAGATTTGAAATAATTTACAGAGTTTCAATGTATGATAACGGATGAATACTTGGGCATTGTGATATACATTAATTAAGAATTTATCAGGCTATATGCATTGATTTTAAATATGCATAATCGATTTTAAATACAATTTTACAGATTATTGAAGTATTTTCAATACAATGTTTAATTTTATTTCTTGTAAATTTGAAAACAAAAATATTGATTACATATTAACAATTTAACTATAAACTCACGTTTGCTTACCATAAACTATTATGTTTAAAATAATATTTATCATTGTATTCATTTAAGACGTAACAAATGGCTTTAATATGAATGTTAAAAATATTTGTTTTATTAATCAAAAAGCTTGTTCTCGCTGGATATTATATATGTAAGACAAATCGAGTAAAACATTAAAATCTGAATGGGTCGTTAAAATTTAAATAAACGCTCACTAGCTTACTGTTAGCTTTAAAAGACAAATGTGAAATATATATATATATATCTTTTTATTATACATATTCTATAGAATCTTTTGGTAGCTTGAATAAATATGTAATTGTTCGTTATACTAAAGTACAATTACAATATTGATACTATGTATAAGTTAAATATTAAATATTATTTGTCTTTAGAGTACAAAATGTAATATGAAATCAATATTTATTTTACAGACTTAATATTATAACACTTAAAAAATTTCTTATTAAAATTAAAGTATCTTAATAAAAAATAATAAATATCCATATACATATTTGTTATAAAATTATTTTAGTGATTAATTCTGAGTTGATTTAATAATTAATTTTAATGATTAATTTATTACAATTTTAGTATTTAAAAGGATATTATATTTTATTAATCACAAATTACTTATTTACATGTTAAATTAATGGCTCTATTATGATTATATAATTGGTACGATGATAATAAGGACACCAATAAACCCAATACATTGAACAATCTACGATACAATTTGATTAATTTTAACATTATTTTGTTATAAATTATTTATCAAGCAATTTCTATATTATCGTATAGGCTTCAAAACACACATAAAATCATATAAATATAAAGTCTATATAAATTTCAGGTTTGACATCAACCTCCTTCAAAGTGCCTAAAAGTTAGAATGCTACAATGACATTGAATAAAGCGACGGTTTTTAAGGATAGATTTAATTAGATTATAAAGTAGACATATTTTAATTAAATTTAAACTACAATTAAATATAACATTTTGGTTTCAATTTTGAATCGATAGTACTTAGATTGATCAATTGTAACTAGATTGTATCAGGCAGCTTTTGATAAATTATATCCCTATATTATAATTATATTTATATTTTTATTTTACACTCATTATAAAAATGACTTAGTCTAAATAATAATTAACAATAATATACTAATACGTATATAACATTTATTAGATGTTAAACAAATAAGTAAAAAATATATATTGATATTGTAATTTATTAGTTAAACAAAACAAATTATATTTACAAAAGTAATCAGTCGATAAAAGCATAAATAAATAATTACGAATTCATAGTTTTCTATAAACAATAAAAGTTTATTTCTACATAATGAAATAAAAGAAAAGAAATTTTTAATTTGTATTTATAGTTATTTTAAATTAAAGAATAATTAAATAAAAAGTATGTGCTACGTCAAAATTTTATATATTCTGAATAATTAAAAAATATATTTATTTGCTATTTAAAGAGGAAACGAATAATACGATATACTCATATGAAAACACATTTCATTTTTATTTTATTTATTTGTAATAAAATTATTAAATATTGAAAATCCTGAAATTACATAAGTTAACAAAAATTTTATTTTTTGGAAATACTTATTCATTGTGCCAATTCATTTTTATTTATAATATTGGAATACTATATTGAGCCTTTTATTAAATGAGATTGAAATGGAAGATTACAGTCTATATCTAAGTGATTAAGGTAAGGCTCATTCATTTTTCCTTTCGGCTTAAAACGTCTAAAAATAATAAAATTTTTTAATATTTTTAGCATTCTATATATTGTTAAACATTTTTTAGTCACTTGCCTCTTTTCTTGTTCTGTACTAGTTGATTCTGATTTTTTGTTTAAGCAAAATTTAGTTAAGTTTCCAAAATTCTTGGTTAAGTCTATTTCTGGTAACCACTTATTTTTCCTAATAAAAATTATAATTTTATATACTAACAAGAAAAAGTGAATTCTAAAAAAATTTTGTCCAATTTATTTATAGTAAATTATTTTAGAAAATATATATTTTACTTCTAATAATTGCTGTAATGGATATTAAATATTTATATGGTTTATAAATATTGAAGAATAAAAGTTACTGTTATTGCAACAACTTTTTATTTTCAAACTTAAATTGTTTGTTTTTGCATTGAGTAATCACTCTATAGCACTTACTATTATCTATTCTATTCTTAATCTTTCATATAATCAATTATATATTTAATTATCAGTAAAAATACAAAATTGAAGAACATCCATTAAAATACAAAATTAAAAAACATTAAACTTTGCATAAATTTAAATATTCTGTTTAATTATTTTAATTATGGTTTTAAAATAAAAGAATTATGTAATAATACTTATGAATAGAAATTATGAATATAAAAATAAAATTGTATTCGAAGCATTGATACTTCTAAGAATAAGCTTATGATGTTAATTCGTTTTAACAAATTTATTATTTCTTTTTATTAATTTTACATTTAAAAATAATTTTAATACAAAATTTGTTTTATATGCATTATTAAAAATTGTTTTTGATTCAATGTAACTACCAACGCTAAATTCATATATGGATCTTTTAAAAATATACACGTTACTTTCATTCACATTTTTCATGAAAATAATTAAAATAAGCAAATTACAGCGTTTTTCGTCATATAAAAAAAAAAATAAGGAGCTTATTTCCTTTCGAAGTAATACACACCTCTTGACAAGTTCAGTGCATGAAATTAATTAATTATGAAAATATATACAATTCCTATATTTTAATTTCAATGTGAGACGGAGTTATTTAAAAAAATATATAATTATAGATTTTTAATAATATAGAATACTGATTTTAGTGTTGTTAAGCATGATATGGTATATATTAGTATTTACAACAGTGTACAAAATGAAAGGTTCTTGATCAGAAACGGTTGTAAAATATATTACGATTGAACTGTTTAACTGTTGATTGAATAACAACAATGATTATAGATTAAACGCCAAATTAATTATAATTATAGTTTTCATTAAAATAATAACGTATTAAAATAGGATTCAGCTAACAGCATATCTACCTTCCACTGAATTTTCGTACTTGTTTACCGTATAACCCTTTTGGTATAATTCGAAAGAATAAATCATTTGTAGTAGTGAAATTGTTCTCAAAAGTATTTCCATATTCTTTGATTAAGAATTCTGAGCCCAAGCCGTGCTGTTGCACACAAAAATTTTTAAAATTAAATATAGTATGGAAACAAGTTTTATAAACCACTTTCATATTAAAATTTTATTTTTTAATTATTTGATTAAAGTCAAATAGTAAGTCAAATGTAATGTTACGCACCAATGTATAATACATTTATAATGATTAAATAAAATAGAGTTGGACAATTGTTAAAAAAAAGTGATACCGAGTAGTCTTATTTTGGACAATAAAAATGATTTTAACTAAATGTTATTAATAATTGAAAACATAGTCTAACTAAAAATTTATTAAAAATATTGAATATAAAATTTTTAATGTGTTATGTAAATTTAGTTGTATTATTAACAAATATTGAATATAAAAATGCAATGTTTGAATTTTGACACATTTATTTATTGTCTTTGTTACCAATGCAATCTTATAACAAATAAATAATTTTTTCTTTTTACACAAATTAATTATACGTTGGATAGATTAGATTTCTATATAATAAAGTTTTTTGCGTATTCGCAGAATCTAAATTGATAATATTGCTTATAGTTAAAAGTTACCCTTTAATAAATTTGTAATCATTTAATTACTTCTAATTTTATTTACATACACTTGTAAAATATTATTCCATATTTAATTACATTCGAATACATACATAGTGTACATACTATTAATAAATGAATTTATAAAATATAAATTGATCAAATTATCAATTCAGTAATAGGTGAAAATATTTTTAAATATTTCTTCAAAGAAGTAATAATCGTGTTTTTTAAGTATCAATAATGAGAATAAGTTATATCCGTATTTATAGATCATTATATATATTCTCCGCGTCGTTACATTTAGAATTTAATTTCGAAAGAATACAAACTTTATCTACACAAGTAATTGTTATTATGAAATATCCTAATGTACCATTCATGCAAATACTAGAAATGAGTATTTCATCATTTTTTAAATGCTAATCCCAATAATTAGATTGATTATGCATTACTTTGCGAGAAAGGTACATTTTTATTTTGCCTCACCTCAGCTTTCGTCTTGTTATCACTGAGTGCGATTCTATCTTTCTTAAGAGCCGGATTCGTTTTACAAATATAAGTGGTTGCATAAATAGTGAGCCAATCGTTGGACGGACGTTCATATGTAGCTCTCTGGTTAAACCAGTTGCCGACAAGCACCGTGGACTTGTACCTACATTTGGTCGGCTCTGCCGCTGACTCGTCTTCCCGTGCCTTCGAACCCAATGATTGACCCTGCTTCTTTTTAGCCGGTGGAAGAGGAGCGTTTATCAACTGAAACTTCTCAAATTCGAAATTCATAGAGGCCATGGCAAACGAGAATTTTGATGAGCGCACGATATGTACAAAAGTGGCATGTGTGTATGAAATTTACAATTTGAAGTTAAAAAAAAAAAACAAGAGACACACGGCTAACGCATAGAATATGACATTTTTCAATCTACATTAACATATTGCATTGGACATTTCACGGTTTTTTCTAACTTAAGTTTTGAACACATTTTCAAATGTTTAAAAATTTATCAATATCCAAATTTTAAATAAATAATAATCTGCTGAATCATATATAAATATATCAATTCGATACCGATAAAGTATGACGCAGATCTAAAAACTTGTGGTTTAAGAATGAAAAAAATTGTTTTAAATTATCAGTTTTTTAATAAAATTTTATTAAATAATCACTGGGCAATGAATACTAATCAAATATGTTTTTATAATATCGCATACAATAAAACTTAATCAACTAATATGTAAGTATAAGTCCTTTCAATTTGAAATATTTATAAATGGTAAATATTAATATTATTAGCAATGAAAAGAAAATTCTTTTTAAAAAAGATTTGGCAAAGTATTGAAAAATTCTTAGTCTTTGCAACAATAACAAATTAGATTTTTTAACAATATATGTATAACAGCTTATACTCAACTAATCTTAGCAAACAAAATGAAATTATGTTTCTACAAATAATTTTGCTAGTGCACATATTATGACATGAAAAAAAAAGAAAAGTATTATTTTAAGTTACGTATACAATAAGATAACTAAGATAATTGAACTAAGTTCTAGTAATTACTTAGGTTACCATCGATTTCATAATTGCCATAGTTACTTTTATGAAAATATAATTTGTATGCGTCATTGATATACATGATTTGTTTCTTAAATGATCAATTTGGACATTTAAAATTTTTTTAATTAGACCATTTTTCTATAAAATATGATAACTATTATTTTTATTAAATAATTTATATATTAAAGAAATTCTTAAATTAAAAAATTTCAAATGAAATTTGTGAAATAATAACATATTGCTTCTTAAAATGTATAAAAATATATTGATAGTTAATTTTTAGAAAATTCAAAAAAAAATTATAATAAATAAAATTTTAAATTTTAAAATTCAAGAACCTCAATAAAAATAATATCCATTTTCATTTCACTATTGCAAAATGAATCAAAAGAATATAAGTCTTTTAAGTCGATTGTCGACATTATTCTATATACGTAAGTAAAAATATTATCAAAACTGTTATGTTTCAACCGCGCAAAATAAAGTTATCTTATAATGATATAAAGATATTAATATCTTATAAAGTTTTTATTTTATGAATATTCAATTTTTACACCTTTTTTCAAAAATTAATATTTTTTTAATAAATATAACTACATAATGATAATAAATTAAAAGTTTGCTAATAATCGCAACAAGAGAGTAAGATTTATTTGGGAAGCTATCTAAACTACTGTTTACCAGAGAAACTACTAATATTTAAGCTCACAGAAACATATTTTATTTAAAAATATTTGATAGTTAAGCAATTGTAGTTTTTGTTTATTATAAATATAAAGTTGTAATTTACTCAATATTCTATGAAGATGTAAAAATATGAAACTTTTCATTCATTATAGTGATATCACAGACTCTGGGTACACGTTACATTAAAATTAAAAAGGATGATATTTACATACAACATCTAATGGGTTTCTATTGTAATTCAGTTAAGTATTGAATTGAGTAAATAACTTAGAAATTAAAATGTTTGTAAAATTTTTTTTATATATTTTAAGAATTTCCTTAGATTCTATAAATAATTTCAAATTATCTAACTAAAAAGTACATTCCATAAAAATAATTAATTTGCATTAATTATCAAAAAGTTGCAAGTTTTCAATGATTTAATGATTTTTCTACACATTAAGAATTATAATGTAAAGAGAATATTTTTATAGAGTATACTTTTATTATAATAGATTAACAAACTACATGCTTATTCAACCTATTCCGTGAATTAAAGTATTAATATACGTTTATCCTTTCTTCCCTTATCAAACATTATCAAGTATAGAGTTCTGTTAAACCCTCAACGCAATAAAATAGTACATAGTACTACCATATTGAAAACGAGTGATCCACATAGTAGAGCTGGTAGCCAAACAGGATTCGTAACGACGGTTGTATGTCTGCTACAATGGTTATCATTTCTTAAACGATGTTGTAGTGACTCAGTATTACAAATCATTTCAGTCATCTGTGAACACCTTGGCGAGCAATTGTCACCTCGTCTCCTAACGGTGTTTGAGTTTTTCGTAGAGAGAGGATTTTCAGGTCGGACAAAGCAACAATGCTCAGACGCCACTGAGTATTGATCAAACTCTTGAACCGAGGGTTCACGTGACAGGCCACAATTCGAGCCTGATGATCCAAAACCCGAACTTTGGCTAGATGATCGTGAGAGCGTCGGTGTATCTATGCCCGACTGCCAATAGCCTCCAGCAACCCATGATGTTTGTGTAACTGATCGTAACCTTGCTGGTGCCAGGATAGAACGCTTCTGACAATAGCGCTGTTGCTTATTAAACAGATCAGGCGATGCTGTACCATAAACACGCGTTTCGAACATACGTGGATAGTGTAATGTCGGAATCTTTTCCTGTGTTCCTAAAGACAAAGAATTTAAACTGGAAAGGCTGTCATTTAAAGAATAAGTTCGATTGATGTAAGATTTCTCTGTTTCAGGTACAAAAGTTGATGCTTTAGATAAGGTGTAGTTTTGGGCATAACTAACTTTTTCTCCTGATAACCTATGATTATGCAAAAAGCAATATAATAACACTAAACATTGTTTTATATAAAATATAAATTAAGTTATTCAAATTAATTTTAAATATTTACCAATGTGACAAATTAGTTGGTTTTAAGGGAATAGGTGTTTCTATAGTTGAAGGAGTGACTAAAGTATCTGTTAGATTAACTGGTGAATTTTTCCTTGGTTCCTTTTTACTCAAGATCTTGTAGCTAGTTTCTTCATTAAGCAATGCTGCAGTTTCTAATGAAGAGGGATGCATAAAAATATTTCTATTAGGAGATTCTAATTTTTTAAAGGTTAGATATTCGCTAGAAAGTGTTTTGTAAGATTTAAATTTTAAATTTACAAGAGCTATTGCTGTTCCAAGAGTAATAATCTAAAAATAAATAAAAAATTTTAAAAATTGAAATATTTTTTTTTAAATAAGTATGTTTATAATAAAATTAAAGGGTGCCTATAAATTTTCAAAGTAAAATTTAATACTTACAAAGTACTGATAGGTGCTATCATCAACAGGAGTTGAATCGTAATATATTTTAAGCATTTTCAAAATTGTACTACTTGAAAATGCACTAACAAAAATTAAGCAAGCCCATCCAGTTAATGGTAGAATATCAGATGTTTTTTTATTAACTGGGCTAACAAAACATGCAGATAATTGAAAAAATATTCCACATAGTGGAAGGTACAAAACTTCAGCAAAATAAGTAGTTACTATAGCAATAATCGATAAAAGTATACGCAAAATTTGTTCCACCTTCTCTCGATTCTGAAATAATTTTATTTATTTATTTTCAATTCAGATACAACTTAGAAATAAACTTACTTCCACTACTCTTCTTATAGGCTTTTGTTTAAAAAGAAGCATTTTATATTGAGTAAGCCATAATGTTTGTTTGTATAAAACTTTTGTTACAATATTTTGACATTTAAAACATAATGGATACTTTTGCTCAAAACTTGCTTCAAATCGTGCAATTTGTTTATCATTATATACATCAATAGAGTCTTCAAGTTCTCTTAATTTTAATAATTTTAGCTCTTCTTTCCTATTACACTGTTTACAAAGACTATTGTTGTTGATTGAAATATCCCTTCTTTCACAATACGATATATTTTTATTACAACTATCATTTGTTATTTTATACTGGTCAGGTATTTCATAATTATAATCACCATCCTAAGAGCATAAATTTATTTTTATGTTATAACGTTATATTAAAGATTTATTTTTAAACTATTTTAAATTTACCTCAGAAAAGCCATTATGCTGGTTGCAAAAAAGACAAAGCCACCAATCAAGTGATTTTCTTTCTATTCTTGAGTTATTATTGCAAAACCAACAATTTACTTTAACTGGCCAGCGATTCCTATTAATAGGAAATAAAAAGATAAAATAAACAATAATTGGGATACTATTGTAATACTAACTTCTATAAATGATATCGAAAAAAATTTTATGTATACTAACTTTAATTTATAAAACACGGTGATCCAAGTGACAAGTGTTAAAACTGTAGCAGAAATTATAGGAATATAATTTAACAATAAATTTGCCTCCAAGTCCATTTTTATTAAAACATTTATTGTTCTCCCGCCAAGATTGCTACTTCTAACCTTAAAATTGTACGTGTCTTACTTTCATGTACAATTCAGAAAAATAAATACTATTTTATATTTTATCTATTACATGACCTATTATAGAATATTTTCAAAAGAACTTCGGTATTAAATATATCTGATTTATTACAAATTTTAGTAAGTGTATGTCACGAACACGCGCTTTCACGTGTATTTTTGACTAATGGTGGTGTTAAGGAAATATTCCAGTGATTTCTAGTTTCTTTTCAAAATTTATAATTTGAAGATAAAATTCCCTAGAATCGCTCTTTATTACATTTATAGACATTAATAGCGCAACTTTTGTTTAAGTTTCTTTCTATTTTTTCCCAAATTTACAATTATATGAGAAGTTGTTCTTAAAAAGAAAAAAATTAATGATTTAATATTAATATAGTTAAATTAAGATACAAACCTAAAAGAGTATTGCAATAACCCATTTCATATTTTTTCATAATCGTTAAATTTTATATAATCAAATATGTTATCAACTTTTTATTCTTATAAAGTTTTCTATAAATTAGAATATTGATAATAATCAATACTATTTATTATATAAATGAATTAAATAATTTATGTTATAAAAAAATATTTTTAAAATCTTCAATTATTTACAAATATTAAATTTATGCTTTATACAGTTAATTGATAATTCTACTTAATATTTAGTTTGGATAATTTTAAATAAATTAACTAAATAATTTGAATCCAACCATATTTTTTACAATCAACATATTTGATTACAATTAAATATGAATATATTTTATATAAACATTTTTTATTGACCACATAATGATATTTGTTTAAATATTTTTATCTTTATGATAAATCAATAATCAAAATTAATTAAAATACATAAGATGCAACGATTAAATTTTACAAAAAATTCTATCAAATAATTAAATATATTAATTGTTATATTTATAATACGATTAATACTCTCCAGAAAATAATAATGTAGTAATACTATTAAAAAATATTAATGTCATCATATATTAGTTTAATATACTGTAATTCTGAATAATAGTATTAAATATAACAATAAATAAATTCAATGATGAATATAACAATAAGAAATTAACTTTATACTGGTTATAATATGTTTATTTAAACAAAACAACAAGAAATAAAAATATTTAAAATACAAAAAAATCTTTAACAACCATAAAAATTTTTGTTTAAACACAGACAATTTTCATTTAAAATTGTACAAAATTCACACATAAAATATTTATTTTATTGTAAAATTTATTTTAATCTAAAATTTTGTTTAATGGCAAAATATTAATAAAAGCAGCTGTTTATTTTTCATGATTATTACAACTATATATACTGATTATTTATATACAATATTATAATATTAATTTTAATCAGATTAATTAAATTATTACATTTATCTTATTGCAATGAAAGATATGAATAATATTGCAATTTACTAGTTGTAAAACTTTATTTTTTATTCTTTGATTTAGTTTTCTTTTTTTAAATATTAAATTAAATATCAATATCAATTCATTAAATGTAAATTAAAAATACATGGATAAAGGTGATTACTATAATTAGAGAATGTAAAATAAAATTGAGAAAAACTGAAAAATTACTATAAGTTCTATCCATAAATTTTTTTGTAAATTAAATTTTCTTTAAGTATAGAAAAAGTCATAATATTTTTGGAATAACTTTCGAATAATTAAGTGTAATAATAATACTAAAATAAATTATTATCAATAAGTTTATAACATATTATAAAATACTTTTATGATATTGAATGTTTGATCATTTAATAATTTAATATTTTTTATTGTAAAGAACGTATAAAATAGTAATTTTTAAGTATTTTTACAAAGCATATAACATTACAGATAAAGTTTCTATATTAAAATATTATTGTAATATATATATATATTCAAAATTCTATTGAAATTAATAGTTGACAACATATTTTCAAATAGCAATATTTTACATACACATATATCTTTTGTATAATTGTGATTTTAGTTATTTTAAATTATGAAAACAATTTGATGTTCCGTTATTCTAATGATATTGGTAAAATACATCTAAACTAAATTTCATACAAATACTTTTTACGCATATATAAATATTCTGAAGAAACTTTTTCGAAGCATACGTTTATAAACTTGGTGTAAGACTTAATTAATTTTTCTTGATTACCACACTTATATAATAGCTTCCTTGACTTTTGTAACAGTTTTAGGATTCTACTGTTTTGTAATATTCTGTAATTTTTGTAACTTGATTAATCTGAATGAGTTGTAGTTCGAATTCTCTAAATTAACACTGTTAGGAAAAATATAGATATCTGAACTCGCATCAGGTAGTTTTTCCGTTCTTTGGCTGTAATACAATAAATCAATCATCTTTTAGATTTCGATCTGGATTTATAGTTTAATAACTTTATGAATGAATGAATTAATGTAATGAATTATTCAATAAACGAAATATTCAATAATAAAGATTAGTTATGTATTTAAAAGTATTGATACACCCTTGATAAAAATTTTGCAAGCACTTGCTTTTAGTAAGAGTTTTATCGACAATATATATCTTAACAGAAAAATGGAATTGAAAGTATTCACCAAAGAACCATTTAATCCTATATTGACTAGCTTTCGAATTATTGATAAAATTGTTATTACATTATTGATAAATATTGATAAATATCATTATATTAAATAATCTTTTCGAATTCTTAAATGTTTTCCTATTTAAGAATGAATTCAAATAAATTGAAAGACAGTTTTCAATTTTAATATGCATTCTGTAATTCCCTACAAAAAGAAGGTACCGAAATATTTTGATTTTTATGACGTCAGAATTTTACAAAAAAAAAAATGTCTGCAACATTCATCCATAAACGATTCAATGCTTAGCTTATTTCAATGTAATTTTTGGAGGTGGATAGTGGTGGTGTGAATCAATGGTCAGTTCTAACAAGAACGCAGCTGGAGATGACGAGAGCGAAGTATGAAGAGGAGCGGCAGGGAGAGTTACGTGGATCCGACGCTGCTTGTCTTTCGCCCATTAACCCAGTGTGCCGGGAGTCTGCCTACATCTATAAATAGAAGCTCGTCCGACCGCGTCCTCACCTTGATTTCCAGTTCTGGCCTCGGTGCCGATCGTCCCGGCGGTCGTTGCTCCGACGTTAACGGCCCTCGGCGAGGTCATCCCGAGACTGCCGCACCTCCATTAATGTTGAGTTCAGCCTCCTCATCCGCTGGGCCGAGTCATGAAGCTCGGCGCGAAGTTCGTAATTCACGTGATTCAGCCGTGTGTTCTTCTGCAAAATCCAGAAGATGTAGAAAGGCGTTTAAATAGAGTTAGGAGCTTGCTTGATTAATTTCTTGAGGTTTCACGCACGAGTCCTTACACGGATAAGGCTATCTATCGTAAAGGCGGTTACCAGGCCAAAATAGTAGTATTGTTAATAATAAAAGCATCCGCTTCATATTTGGAATTGTTACAACCTCCAAGTTGGTGCATTCCCATTACTTGTACATTTTTGAATATATATTAATTCTCAATTAAAAAAGAAAGTCTTCAACGAATCACATCGAAATATGTATTTACAATCTAAAATTATTAACGCGCTGTCCAGTTAAGTAACATTATTTTAAAACTTCAGCATATATATTATTATATATATTAATTTAATATATATATATATATATATATATATATATATATATATATATATCTTATATATTAATTTAATTATTTGAAATCTAATTTGTTAACATTTCTTGAAATAGTTATAAAAGAACTGATGACATTAACGCTTAATGGGTTAAAATTAAAAAATTTTAATTCAATTTTGGTGAATATAGAATGAACTGCGCAATCTTAAATTGGTCAATATTATGTTCTATAAATAGTAAAATATCTTCGAAGTAAATTAAAAAAATAAATAAATAAATAAAAACGAACAAAATAAATATATTTTTTAGTTACTCTAGCGACTTGTATTTAACTTATTTTTGAATAAATAAAGATATTACATCTTTATCGCATATTCATTGTGTTGTAGAATGCTTAATTTATACTAATTAAATCAATAAAATAATGAAGCAGAGACTATATAATAAATTTGTTTAAAAATATTTCGAAAGGTATTGAAGTTTTTTCTTGTTATTCTTATTTGAATTATATTTCCGAATTTATATTATATTTTTATTCGTACTCTTGTAATGATTTTCCACATGGACGTATTGTCAAACAACATGAAATAAAATTATTTAACCTAATTTTAAATAGATTTCAATATAAATTTAATATAATTTAATATAAATATAAATTTAAATAAATTCAATATATTCATTATAATAAACATTACTATAAACAAATTAAACCGTAATTAATACGAGATTTGTATTGTTTCATATACTCATGTGATCATATATTTCATGGTAAAAATATTTTACTCATCTAAGAAATAACGATTTAATATTATTTTTTTTTATCTTATTTAATATCATTTTAGATGGATTATGCTTTTTATTTTTAATTTCAAATTTTCTATAATAAATAAAAATTTGTATTTTATTTAATTATGTTCTAAGTTCACGATATGATTAGAAATCTATTTTACATATAATAATACTAACATTATAAAATAGTTTTAAGCAGTCTTAACTCTTCTTCATTTGAGTATAAATTTAATTTAATTTTAATTAATAATAGATAATATCAAATATGTTGTAATTTCATATGCATATTATATCTCATTCACATTACAAAATTAATTCAAATTTAATAGCTAAGAAAATTATAAAAGATACTTGTATAGCTTTAATGAGTAATTTATTGAATATATAATTTAAATTTATAAAACTGTTATTATGTAAAATTATAAACAACAGCTCCACATCGTTTGATATAAATACATTATTTAATATTAAAAATAGCGAGTTACTTTAATTAATGAACAATAAGTAATAAAAATAATTAAAATTTTAATGTTTTAAATAAACGATAATAAAATATTCAGTATACATTATATAACAGTAATAAATAATTGAAATAATATAGTATATTATTTTGAATAATATATATTGTTTTCGTCTTAAAAAATGAATACGTTATTTGGATAATCATAATTATTTATATAATCATAATTTTTATTATCAGCTACACATATTTAAATTTACGTAATTGTAATATTTTATAAATTTATAATAATAGTATAATATTAACCTGTTCATGGAACTCCTTCGTTAATTTCAGTTTCTGTAATTTGATAGATCTAAGTAAGTCATCATGTTTTAATCTCACCATTTCCTTTTGAATTTTATGGTATAATTCAATAAATGTTATATTTGATTCTTCAATTTTTTTTATTATTTTGTCTTGATTATTTATTTTATCATGTAATGATAGAATCTATAATTTATATTATTATTTAAATACACGATCATGTAATCACTAGATAAATCAATTTAAACATCATTGAAATCCGTTTAATTAATTACTGAAATTCATGTGCAAATTTATTATATTTAATATGTTGCTAAATATTAATAACACTAAAAAATATATTTTTGTATATGAACTCTAAAATTATAAAAGTATTAAATCAATATTTAAATAAGAACAGGAATGTACTTTATATTTATTACAAAATTTCTCAGTTTATTAGAAAGTAATAAGTTTGTTTTTCTAATAAACGTATTTCTAAATACTTTATCAGAATTATTTGATTTATTTAGCTTCGAAATTTTTTTTAGCCTGGATAGATTATTTTTCTTATTAAATATGAATTTAGTTATTGATTTAAAAAATCTCTCATTCGGAAGAATGTTATTCAAAAGTAAATCATAATACAATTAACTCATAAACTCTTTCAATTTATGAAAACTAAAATTTTTAATTACCATAATAAATAATAAATTATACATTTTTTATTTTAAGATATTTTGAAAACCGCTATTTAATATTTTAAAAAAATTTGTATATCACATGAATAAGAAAATATATCATAAAAATACTAATTTAGTATTAATAAGTAAATATATTAAATTTTATCTCATTCTATATATTGAAATTACAAATAGTTTTTAGTTAATTCGAAAATTGAAAAATAGAAAAAAGAACTTATCAAAATTTTAAACAATAATTATGTATTTACATAATTTACTTCATATAATTATAGAAAATACTACCACAGCTCATTTAACTACTAATAAGGTAACTAATAACTAATAATTTTACTGTAATTGATTTTGCTTGCCTCTTTTGAATGAATATCTTTTAATTCATTTACATATTTTTCCAAACCAGTCCATTGGGTATTCGTTGAGTCTTTTATGACTTCCAGTTCAGTGGTAAAAGAATTACGTTCCTATTTTTAAAATCGTATTATTTAAAATATATTCTTATATCATATTTTATATTATTTTCTGAATATTGATAATAGTTTTTAAAATCTTTATTACTTATTTGAATGTACGAAATATTTATTATAATATTGAATACTAAATACCATATCTGAATAAGTGAAACTTCCAGAGTTTCCAAAAAATGTTGTTCTTTTGCGAATTATGGACGAACAGTTGTTCAAAATTTTATTCTGAAAGTAATTCCGATCTTGCACTACGATTTCTTTAACGTCCCGTAGTGTCCTCTCTAGTTCTCTTGTTTGCTTTATTTGTGAAAGGAGTTTCTTTTCTGCTTCTAATAGTTCATAGCGGATATTTACATCATTTTGCACTAATTTTTTATGCATAATCTGTACAAATTTTAACAATAATAATTATATGTTAACCTTAACAAATGATAACAATAAAAATTATATATTATATCATATAATATTATTTATAATTAATAGCTAAACAAGGTTCAAATAACAATATATTGTATACAAACAATAAAATATAATTAATTAAAAATACTATTAAATATTTATAAATTATTTTCTTATAAATACGATATAATTTATTAGTTTCATTAATTTAAATGTTTTAATGTTTTATGAATTATATAATTTTATAACATACCTTAGTTAAATTACTTAGATCATCACTTGGTTTTGTAAAATCATTTTTCATATAAAAGTTAGTTTCTAAATTTTTAGAATTAAATATATTCTGATCCCTATTTTTCTAAAATAAGTAATGAAAAAAAGATGTAATTAGTTATGGAAAGATAATCAAGCAAAAAATATATTTTAGAAAATACAATAATTTATCTTCTCTAATAAATTATTGACTAAAATTATAAATTAATAATTATAATGAAGTAATGTTTTCTTATACCTTGATAAAATAATCGATATTTTTAGAACTCTTACAAAATAACTTTTTAAGCATACTGCTCCAAATATTGGCAAAATTTTCACAAAATAAATATTTTATACTTAAGGCCCAGCAATAGCTATGAAATATACAAAATGCTAAAAATATTTTATAATAAAATGATAATAGTATAATATATATTCTACATCTAAATTATTAACAGATTCAAGTAATATTAGTCAAAACTGATGTAAATATTGTTCATGATTTATATTATGCAATTAATAATAAATTAATGTTTTTAATAATTAAAATTTTATAAGTACTCAATTATTGTTAAATAATTTAATCTTAATAATTCTTAATAATATTTATATAAATAAATAAATTATATATTTTTCTTTTATTATATTACGAATGTTGTACATTATTTAAACTTGGTATTATTAATCAATTGTAAATAAATCATAAATTAATTAATAGTATAAATATATATACATATCTTTAATATGTGTATAATTATTATACTTACTTTGATTTACAAATTATTCTAATAAAAGTATATATATTATTTAAATGTTTGAAAATTGTTAAATTAAGTATAAAATTTGAGTTATCTGAATTGTTGGATGGCTTATAAATATTAATTCTTGAGATGTCATTAATCGTATTAAAATCCATTGTTAATATGACTATACGAAATGAACGTTTAAAGTGTAGTCAAACAAAGCTTTAAAATTATTAGATACAATAAAGATAGAAGGAAATATATGATCATATAGCAACACTGATACCGAATTCCAATAACATATTTCGTCGATTATCAAAGTTAAAGTTATATTGTTTTTGTTTTGATTGGAAGTACAGTAGGTAATTATAATTAGAAACTTGTATAGCTTTTATAAAATAAATTCAGATTTATATTTATAAAATATATGTTGATCTATTGTACATTTATTTCAAATTCGACGATAAAAATCTTTATACATTAGATTCCTATAAAAAAAATTATGACGCCGCAATAAATATGTATACTTTTCATTATAAAAACAATAGAAATCGAGTATCAATTATCAATAATAGTAAGATACGGCTTACCCGAACTGGTATGATATTACATCAAGATAAAGAAACCAATATATGCAACATAATACATTATACAGGCTAATATTATACTCACATCAATAAGAAAAAATCACTCAGCATAAACGAAACAATTACAGCTATACTTACTTATGTTGGTTTAATTTTACTTCACTATCATTTCATTATTTTATTTTATAATTAAAAATTTTTTTAATTTTGTAAAATTAATGTTTATTTCCGATATTTAAAAAATGTTTATATTTAATATGTACTCTGTAAACAATTTATTTTTAGTAACTATACATAGGCATTTTCAAAAATAAAGCATTGAAATTGTTGAATAATGAGTAAGAAATAAAATTATTTGACTTAACGATTATGTATGAAATAGAATATACTTAGAATACAGTTTCATTTTTTATTCCAATATACTTGATTGTTCATAATAATATAAAATTGAAATGTATTACATTGAGAACTTATAATTGTTAATTAATGATATGTTATAATATTTATCAATGTATCCTTTACATGAAATTATATATTTTACATATCAATCTTTTTTACTTTTTCTATACTTTCGATTAATTTAATATAAAGGTATATTTTTATAAATTAATAATGTATTATAATCTTTAATTACTTTACAAATAATTCAAATGTTATACATACACACGTTTGTATATATAGATTCTGTATATGTAACGCATGCATGCATGTAACTGATCGATTATATATAAATTAATAAACCTATATTTATTTATTATTGGTATTAATAATTAATTACTTAATATTCTCTTAATTCTAAATATAGTCGTAACATAAAACTATGTTTATATCTTTCTTTTTTCGTTTTAAGCTTACAAACAAATGATAAAAGAATTTTATCTTGTTATCAATCAAAATTTTATATTATTTACATGCATATTACCGAACAGAACCAGTTTACATTCATTTCTTTTAATCGTTGATCGTTATGTATGATCAATTTTATATGTCGAATCTATGGTCCATTAGATTCCTACAAATTATTGATAGTTCTTTATTCTTAATTGTCTCTGTATTATTATTATTATTATTATTATTATTGTTATTAATAACAGTTATTTATAGAAGTCGTTAACACCAGTGCTGTAAGTTTTATGAAAATTTACTTCTTAGAAAGTTCATTGTCAAGAGCTCGAGAAGAGTTGAAACTGGGCTAGATCGAAAGAGACATTCATAACTCAGATATAGGAACAGAAATTGTAGTAAAATTTCTGAATGTATCGATCCATTTGATGAATGTCTGTATTGCAGTAAATACAGGCTAAATCTTTATTTTTTCTTGTTGCATTTTCTAAATAAATATTTTTATAATTCTCGAAAGTTAAAATTATAATTTTTATTAAAAAGACTTATTTATTTTTAATAATACAAACAATATAACGTTATAATATTATAATTATTATGTGCAAAAAGTTAAAAATAGCAGTAAGCATATATATTAAACATAAGAAGTCTGTAATGCAGGAGGAAATCGTAAAAAGTTGTAAATCCCGAATAATTAGTAAACATTTTAATCGTGTGAACATTAAAAGTAAATATTTTAATCTTACTATGGTTTGAAATGCATTCCTTTGAATCTGGAATTCTGTCAAAGTCTAGTGTTGATATACAACCTTCTTTCATTTCTTTCTATTTAGATGCATAATTAAATAAATAGAATTATACTTGAAATATTGTATAATGCTCATCGCACATAGGCTAAATGTTAAGCATATACGTATTTGATAGGATCTTATAATTTTTCACTACACAATATACTATATGCAATTTTTATTAATTTAGAATCAATTGCGAATATAATTACACATACGAAAGTATCAGAATATAAAACAAATTGTTATTCATAATTGCGAATAAATTAAGTTAAATATATGGTAATATATATAATATATAACTCGAATTTAGTCATGAAACATTTAATACACAATTATTCTTTACTTAATAACTTAATGTATATGCATTATTTAATTTCAAAACTATAAGAATAAATTTATTAGAAAGTCATTACAATTTGTATCGGTGAGTCTAGGGATTTATTTTTTGTATTGACTTTATCAGTGATTTTATTTAATAGTTTTATTCAATAGTTATATATGTATATATATACAATTTCTTTCCATAGGACATAAAAAATCATGCTGGTTTAAAAATATAATATAAGCTATCATCAACAAGATGATCTATCGGAAAATTCGCAGATTGTAGAATCTGAAACTCAAATGTTAAACACCGACAATGTAGAAGATTTTTAAAAGCTTGACTCTTGTATGATATTGACGATATGTTGCAAAGACTTTTTGTTTAGAAATAACTTAAATTATTTTATAGAGAACTTGTAAACACTACTAAAGAGTATTCTATTGTGCAAAACTTCTGCTAATACTGTAACGACAATTATTTTAAATTAGTAAAAGCATAGGGCACTAGAATATGTAGTTTAAAAATATGACTCAAATCAATTCGATATCAAGACACTATCTGTTTACAAAAGCATGTTACAATATAGCATTATCGAGATCAATCGTATAGTTTATGAAGACTGAGAACCTTGATTTTATATTCTTTAAAATGTTCTTTCATTAAACCTAATTTATCGAAAAAAAATTTAATTTAACAAAGTATAATAATAAAATAGTAATAGTAAACATAGTAATAAAAATTAAATAAACATAATAAAAAAAATTATAAGAAATGAAATTATAAGTAATTAATAATTTACTTAAATATTATTAGTTTATATTGTCAGAATTTTCATAATAATTTTTTATATATAAAAATTAACATAAAAATTATCTAATATTAAAAGCAAAATATTTTCTGTCTCCCTAATACGGCGATCATAATATTACATACCCAAAAATGTATATATTTAATTTAAATATAAACGTTAAAATTAAAATACTTAATTTGTAAATAAATTTATGAAGATAAATATAAATAAATTTAACTTCATGCTTTCAAATATTTTAATTTGAATCTAAATGAACTTTTATTATTCATTGAAAGCAATTAAATACTTTCTGAAAATGTTTGAAAAAGCCCCTCCAGCAGTAAAAGAAATGAATTTTATTATTTTTAATTGAAGGCGTGTGAAAATCAATTTTCACTATAGAAATATACCATATTAAAAATATTATCTGACAAAATTCGAATTATCGTATGATAAAGAAATATTGTAGGAGTTTTAATACAATAAATAATGTCATTTAATTTGTAGATGGTATTATTATTATTATTATTATTATTATTATTATTATTAATGACAGTAGCGATAAAGGTCAGTCAGGTAATACTACTTTATGTACAGGCAAAGTACCGTATGAGGCATGTTAAATGACATTGCAACAGGTTACTCCAATTACTTATTTTCTAGTCTTATTACCTCACTGAACAATAACGGAGACCGTAGCCGGAATACTTTGAAAAAGATAGAATTTCGAATTCTAGAACAGAAATTTTCTTTAAATCAATTAAGTAAATTAAGGTCAAGTATGTTCGACACTGAATGTGATCATTCATCAATTTATACATATTCAAAACTTGTCGATCATGCGCATTAACTATAGTAGATACTTGTATAGTAGATACATAACTGTCCTTTATCGAAAAGTTATACATGCCACTGTATAAATATTTTGTATTATTTCCGGTAATAAATACTTGCAAAAGACTTTCCTTGA